AATAAACAAGGTTATGGTTTGAAAGAATTTAATGAATGAATACATTTAATGAATGACTCCCACTGCTCAAGTTACAACAAATTCCAAAGGCAAACGCTGTCCTTTTGTTTCTACATTTCAACTACACATATGAAAACCCTCACTTCTTCTGATTACATTCAACTAGATCCAATGTATTTTTGTATAAACATTTCAGAAATGACAGAAAAACAGCAGCTTTTCCTCAACATACATTTAAGAGCCACCAAGAGTAATAAAGTATGCTCTCTTCCTATAGGAAATGAAACAAAGCCGACTGTCTCTCTTTGCCCAGACATTACCAACAACCTAAAAACAAAAACAGCATAGACAGCATACAACAGTGTTGGGGGCGCCAGAGGGGGAGTCTACTGAGAGCATCACCTCAAAGTGTTTACGTAGTACAGACAGGGCGGTATGTTGCCAAGGTGGATAGGTCTTCGCCACATAGATGGTGCAATGTGAGGGCTTCTGCAGGGGTTGTTTGTCAGTCTTCTAGGTGGTAAAAGAAAGAAAAACATTCAGTAGCTTTTATATAAACCAAAAATAAGAAGAACCCTACCCCAATATACACCACCACTGTCTTCACCATTAATGAAAATCTTTTAACTCTCATTACTGTTAAGTGTTATCTGACCAATAATTTTTAAGAAATGAGCTTTAAAAAAAAAAACTTTACCTTCCCTTTGGCTGGCATCATATAGGTCTTGAGTCGTAGTCTAAGGTCATGTGTTACTTCCATGAGATACTGTGAGGAGCGTATTAAAACTTCATCCACAGGACCTGCCACAGGCCATGAAGCATTCATAATTGAGTTGGGCTTTTAAAGAAAGAAAAACAAAAAAAAGTTCAGTGAGATTAGACAATATAACTATTTTATGGTTCTTGATTATAGTTTCATACCAAGGATACCATCTGTAATTGTGTGCTCAAAGTTCAAACTTGATACACATAGCATACTTCCACAGCCCCTGATCTAATGTTCCCTAGAATTCAAGCTGTGAAGTCTGACTACATTCTTAATTAGCATCCATTTGTACAAGCATATTAATACCCACACACATATGCTCACTTTCAAAGAAAATTATGTAATGCTAATTTGTCTAAATTTAATCATTATTATATAAATTATACATACACTCAGTTTTTATCCTTTTAATACATCTAGTATTCAAGTATGGCTATTTGGTACATAGATCATGAGCACATTTCTGCATTGTTCATGCATTAAAAATACAAAAGAACCCAGCTCATAAGTTTGGAAAGTAGTTACTAAACCAGCCAATCTATTTATCTCCAAGCCTAGGAGAAATAACTAAATTTATATTCACAGTAAGAATGCTAATATAACATCTCTGAATATTAAGTCCTATGTATGCCAGAAGTTTTATATAAAACAAGAATATTTATGCAAATATACACCTATATCTCTGTTTATAAGCAGCTCATAATAGTTGTTTATATCGTTCTCAATATTTTCAACTTTTAAAAATATGTATACACTGTGTGTATATAAATAAGGGCACATATATATCCATCTGAATAGGAGATAGCTCTGGTTTAACCTGTCACAATTATGATGCTGAATCCAGCACTATTCTTGAATTACTCACTTTCAGACCCTCTCTCTAACAATATTAGCACATTTACTTAATGAAGCCAAAATCAAAGCCACTGAAAACATTTTAAATGCATAAAGGTACCTTTCCCAGGAGTGTCCAGATGTGCTCACACAAATGTGGACAGAATGGAGCCAGGAGAAGTGTCTGAACTTCAATAAACCGGAACACAAGTTCTCTGTGCATCCCTTCCACAGCCAATTCACGGTACTTATCTTTTGCAGCCTGTAAAATTTGAAATTATTTACCATTTCCCTCACCTTCTTCAAAATAAAAATTTTGTTTAAATTTCAGTATCTTGGTTTTAATATTTGTGTGTGTGTGTGTGTGTGTGTGTGTGTGACAGAGTCTCACTCTGTCGCCAGGCTGGAGTGCAGTGGCACGATCTCGGCTCACTGCAATCTCCGCCTCCTGGGTTCAAGTGATTCTCGTGCCTCAGCCTCCCGAGTAGCTGGGATTACAGGCATGCGCCACCATGCCCAGGTAATTTTGGTATTTTTAGTAGAGACAGGGTTTCACCACGTTGGCCAGGATGGTCTCAATCTCCTAACCTTGTAATCCACCCACCTCAGCCTCCCAAAGTGCTGGGATTACAGGTGTGAGCCCCTGCATAGCCAGTTTAGATTATTTTTAAGTTTCTAGTCTTTTAAAAATCCATAACAAAGGCTAGGCGCAGTGGCTCATGCCTGTAATCCCAGCACTTTGGGAGGCTAAGGCAGGCGGATCACAAGGTCAAGAGATCTAGACCATCCTGGCCAACATGGTGAAACCCCATCTCTACTGAAAATACAAAAATTAGCTGGGCATGGTGGCGCGTGCCTGTAGTCCCAGCCACTGTGGAGGCTGAGGCAGGAGTATTGCTTGAACCTGGGAGGTGAAGGTTGCAGTGAGCTGAGATCACGCCACTGCACTCTAGCCTGGCGCCTGGTGACGGAGCAACACTCTGTCTCAAAAAAAAAAAAAAAATTCCTGACAAATTCTAACAAATTACTGTAAAGGTTTTACTTTAAGAATTTGCAAGTATTTATCTTTGTCCAAAGTACATGGCAGTTTTATACTAATAATTTTCAAAATAAGAATTTTTTTACAGACAGTCTGTAACTGAGACATAAAAGCTGAAGAACTTTTTTAACTGTATATTAAAACTGCTCTTAGCAGCATATAGAATATTAAATATAAAAAAGACTATAAATACAACACATTGCTATGCTCAGCATTTATCCTTATTTAACCACATCTCTGAAAACCAAGTTATATAAATCTCAATGTGATCTTTTTACATAGCTCATTGAGTAAAGCTACATTTTTACTTTAAGCACTTCAAATGCCAAACTTGAGGAAATACTGACACCTTGTGGAAAACCTCAGAAAACACTTACTCTCAAACTAACGGCAATTAATTGCAATTTTGCCTTAGTTTTTATCAATTTTGAAATGTTTTCCTGGAAAGTATAGCTGAACTTTAGATCTAATCTCCTTTATATTGATGTTCATGGCTTAACTAGGAGCAGAATTATTTATATTAAGTGAACACAACAGAAAAAATACCAAAGAAAATATGCTAAAATCACAATTTATTGAAGAATTGTTAAGTTTTCTGGCAGGATTTTCATAGTCTACACTTTAGGCAAGTAATTGTGCTATAGCAGGAAGATAAAAGAAGGAAAATACATAATGTTCACACTGACATGTTTTATAGCTACCAAAAGCATCAACAGCCTACCTGAAACTCAAAAAATCCTGTTTTTAAAGCTTCTTTAAACATCATCTTTTCATAGTTTTGATCTGTTTTTATAATTCCTGCATTCAATTCACTAGTGAATAAAGGGAAAAAGGTTATTGAGTTTAAAGGCACTTATACGTAGGTATACAAAACTGCTGCATATACAAATAAGCAGTAAAATGAGAACAATGTCCAAAACATTGAAAACTGCTCAACACAACACCATCTTTGTGTTCCTTAAAACTGTCTATGGCAGTCTCTCTATTCTCTCTGCATCTGTAAGTACTGAGATCTGACACTGCTTACGGCTCCTGTTTATGACATAGTAAATGATGCCTGTTTAAAAATTTCTTGATGGACACTTTATTCTTATAAAGCCCAAAATGCAATGTGAAAATAGCTTAACTAAGGCTGTAGCCAGGTTTGGGTTTTTGGTTTGTTTTTTTTTTTTTTGAGACAGGTTCTCTCTCTCTCACCCAGTAGAGTGTAGTGGCATGAACACGGCTCACTGTAGCCTTGAACTCCTAGGATCAAAGGATCTTCTCACCTCAGCTTCCCAAATAATAGGACTACAGGCATACCCAGCTAATTTCTTTTTTTTTCGTAGAGACAGAATCTTGCTTTGTTGCCCAGGCTGGTCTCGAACACCTGGGCACAAGCAATTCTCCCATCTCAGCCTCTCAAAGTGCCTGGTTTACAGGTGTGAGCTACAGTGCCTGGCCATAGTCAGGTTTTAATTGTTGCATTTACAATAACTAATACTGGATATTAGGAAAAAAATTTCTCATACCAATCCAGGTCCTTCTTAATTTGGCCTAATCTGGCCCCAACCTATTTTATCTCCTACCTCTGCCCACCAGATAATGTACTTCAAATAAATATCAGACCCTTTCCATGGCTTATCCCCACTTTCTCTTCTCCCTGAAAACATTGTTTATTTTTCAAGAAACCCAGAATTCACAAGACATCTCTGAATTCTCCTTATCTCTATTATTGCACTTAGAAACTGACTATTTGTCTCTCTTGCTAGACAGTAAGGAAGAACCATGTCTTATTATCTTTGTAATACCATTGCTTAGGATGACTCCAAAAATATTTATCCTTTTCTTTTAATTTACGTTTCCTTTAACCATTTTGCCCCGTTTTAAAGCAAGACAGCATGGCAAAATGGTTTTCAAGACAGACAGAAGCAAGGTCATATCCCAAGTTTGCTACTACTAGCTTTGAAGCATGTAAGGAAATACTTAATGTTCTAAGCTTCAGTTTCTTTGTTTACAAAACAGAGGTAATTATATCTATATTATATAAGGTTGTTTTGAGGCTAAAGTCAGCTAACGGACACAAAATACTTAGCATACTACACCTGGCACAAGTAAGCCTTCAATGAATACTAGCTATTATTATCATTAATTTATTTGAAAAAAGAAAAAGGAAACTTAAAAATGCACCAGGACTAAGTAACTCTAAAACACAAAATGATTGGGATCTACAGATTACCTGGCAAAAACTCTGTCATTGAAAGTGTCAGCAGGACCACTTCTTAGGCTGTCCCAGTTGGCAACCATTTCTTTCACCCATTCTACCCAGGTGTACAGACGAAGAATACCTGCATCTGCCATGGTTTCCACAAAGTTGGCATCTTCTACAGTGTCACCAGCATCAGCCAGAGCCAAACGCATTCCTGGAAGAAGAAAAAAAAGTCAGTGAATTAAAAATATGGTTACTGTGTATCAATTATGTCCTATATGTGTCCAGCTGGGTACACTGCAAAGCCCATATATAAATTAACAAATGCGATTGTGTGGGGGAAGATGTAGCAGCCTCTTCTCCGAACCACCCCTTTGCCTTCAGACTTCTCTGGGGCCAGCAGCCGCCCGACCACGGACCCGGGGACACGGGCTCAGCCAACTACCATGGGCTCCGTGTCCAACCTACAGTGTGCAGGTGGCTGCGCCAAGGCGGCAGAAGAGGCGCCCTAGGAGGCACTGGAGGACGCGGCCCGGGCGGAGGACAAGCCTCAGCTGCTGCACGGTGCAGGCATCTGTAAGTGGTTCAACGTGCGCATGGGATTCGGCTTCCTGTCCATGACCACACGCGCCGGGGTCGCGCTCGACCCCACAGTGGACGTCTTTGTGCACCAGAGTAAGCTGTACATGGAGGGCTTCCGGAGCTTGAAGGAGGGTGAGGCCGTGGAGTTCATCTTTAAGAAGTCAGCCAAGGGTCTGGAATCCATCCATGTCACTGGACCTGGTGGGGTGTTCTGTATTGGGAGTGACAGGCCGCCAAAGGGGAAGAACAGGCAGAAGCGCAGATCAAAAGGAGACAGGTGCTACAACTGTGGAGGTCTAGACCATCATGCCAAGGAATACAAGTTGCCACCCCAGCCCAAGAAGTGCCACTTCTATCAAAGCATCAGCCATATGGTAGCCTCATGTCCACTGAAGGCCCAGCAGGCCCCTAAGGCACAGGGAAAGCCAAAATACTTTCGGGAGGAAGAAGAAATCCACAGCCCTGCCCTGCTCCCGGAGGCCCAGAATTGAGCCCCAATGGGTGGGGGCTATTCTTTTGCTATCAGGAAGTTTCGAGGAGCAGGCAGAGTGGAGAAAGTGGGAATAGGGTACATTGGGGCTAGTTGGCACTGCCATGTATCTCAGGCTGGGGTTCGTACCATCACCCTTTCTTCCCTCTAGGTCGGGGGAAAGGGTGAGTCAAAGGAACTCCATCCATGCTCTGTCCAAATGCAAGTGAGGGTTCTGGGGGCAACCAGGAGGAGGGAATCACCCTACAACCTGCACGCTTTATCTGAGGCTCCATCCCCAGAATTTCCAGCTTTTGAAAGTGGCCTGGATAGGGAAGTTATTTTCCTTTTAAAGAAGGATATATAATAATAATTCCCATGCCAGAGTGAAATGATTAAGTATAAGACCAGATTCATGGAGCCAAGCCACTACATTCTGTGGAAGGGAATCTCTCAGGAATAAGGCAGTTTTTTTTTTCCACATCTTATATCCTCATACCCACTTCTGGGATAGGGTGCTGGCAACTGTCCCAAGCAATGGGTAGTGATGATGGCAAAAAGGCTGTTTGGGGGAACAGTTGCAGACCTGCTGCTCCTACACTCACCCCGCCCCATTCTGGGTCAATGTGATTTTATTTATTTGCTCCCTTGGATACTGCACCTTGGGTCCCACTTTCTCTAGGATGCCAACTGCACTAGCTGTGTGCGAATGACGTATCTTGTGCATTTTAACTTTTTTTTTCCTTAATATAAATATTCTGGTTTTGTATTTTTGCATATTTTAATCTAAGGCCCTTATTTCCTGCACTGTGTTCTCAGGTACATGAGCAATCTCAGGGATAAGTCGGCAGCAGCTCCAGGTCTGCACAGCAGGAATACTTTTTGTTGTTTTTGCCACCATGGAGAGCAACTATTTGGAGTGCAGAGCCTATTGAACTACCTCATTTTTGCCAATGACAGCTGGCTTTTCTGCCATAGTGTCCTCTTGAAACCCCCTCTGCCTTGAAAATGTTTTATGGGAAACTAGGTTTTAACTGGGTTGCCCCATGACTTGATTGCCTCCTACTGGAAGATTGGAAGTTAGTCTAAACAGGAAATGGTGGTGCAGAGAGGCTAGGAGAGGCTGGGCTAGGTGAAAGGCCCAGAGAGGAACCCAAGATTAGGTGAGGGTTGTCTAATCCTAGGGCACAGGACAGGCTTTACATCCCAGATCCATTCTTCACCAGATTAGACGAGGCCTACCATGCACAACAGGGTGTGTGTGTTCATAAAACAGGAGTTGGTAAGGGTAAGTTTTAAGACCAGTACCCCTGTACTTAATCCTGTGCTGTCAAGGGATGGCTATATGAAGTAGGGTCTAAAATCCTCAACCTGTCAAAATTCTTGGGTTGCAGGAAGACACACGAGCAGGGCTTTGTGGTGCCTGGGGCCCGTGTCCTGCCCTGCTGCAGTAGTGATTCCTAGTGTCACGGTGGCTAAAGGAGAAAGGGGGTTTCGTTTACATGCTGTGAGATCACCGCAAACCTACCTCACTGTGTTGAAACGGGACAAATGCAATAGAACACATTGGGTGGTGTGTGTCTGATCCTGGGTTCTTGTCTCCCCTAAATGCTGCCCCCCTCTAGTTATTATATTTGTCTGGGCTTTGTAGGACTTCACTAATTTGGTGATTGCTAGGTGGCCTAGTTTGTGTAAATATAATGTATTGGTCTTTCTCCTTGTTCTTTTGGGTTTTGTTTACAAACTTCTTTTTGTATTGAGAGAAAAATAGCCAAAGCATCTTTGACAGAAGGTTCTGCACCAGGCAAAAAGATCTGAAACATTAGTTTGGAGGGCCCTCTTCTTAAAGTGGGGATCTTAAACCATCCTTTCTTTTGTATTCCTCTTTACCCATCAGACCAGATCTTCTGTCCTAAAAATGTGTCTTCCACCCTGCCCTCTTTTCTGTTCACCCCCAAAAGAAAACCTATACACCCACACTCATACACATTTAATGCTTGGAGTGTCTCCACAACTGTTAAACAATCTATGCAAAAATCTGGAAGAAGCTAGAAACCCTCCATTCCTTGTTCCAGCCTCCTGAATCAAGACCAATACATTTGTCTTGGTGAGCCACCATGTCTGGCCGACCATTTCTTGATGTATTCATGACAAACACTTAAGACACTGCTTTAGGCCGGGCGTGGGGCCTCACGCCTGTAATCCCAGTACTTTGGGAGGCCGAGGTGGGTGGATCACAAGGTCAGGAGTTCAAGACCATCCTGGCCAACACGGTGAAACCCCATCTCTACTAAAATACAAAAAATTAGCCGGGCATGGTGGTGTGTGCCTGTAATCCCAGCTACTTGGGAGGCGGAGGCAGGGGAATCACTTGAAACTGGCAGGTAGAGGTTGCAGTAAGTTGAGATCGCGCCACTGCACTCCAGCCTGGGTGACAGAGAAAAACTCTGTCTCAAAAAAAAAATAAAGACACTGCTGTATTTTAGATGGTTCAAGCCTACTTAATTTTTAATCCTAAAGTAGAGAGATACAATTGGGGGCCATCCATATAGAAAGTGGGGTCAGGAGGCCAAGAAAGGGAATATGAATGTATATCCAAGTCACTCAGAAACTTTTATGCAGGTGCTAGAAACTTATGTCAAAGTGGCCACAATATTGTTTAATAGGAGATGAACGAATGTAACTCCATGTTTATTGCTAGAAACCAAAGCGTTGGGTAAAATCTTGAATTTATGGCAGGGAGGATAGGAAAACCTATACCTGTCTGTTCTTTTCCCAATCCCTTTCCCTCATTGCTAAACTGCAGGAGATTGAGCCCCTTTGGGCTTTGGTGACCTCATCACTGGGGTGCGTTTATTTGATGGCTGATTTTGCTGTACTGGGTATTTCCTTTCCCATTTTCTAATCATTTATTAACACATGCTGACTCTTCCCTTCCCTTCTCCTTTCCCTGGGAAAATACAATGAATAAATAAAGACTTATTGGTACTCAAAAATAAAAAATAAAAATAAAAATAACAAAGGTTTTAAAGGACTGTCCCAGATCAAAAACAAAAATTAAAATCACTAAAAGGTAGCATCCCTAACTGTGATGTTAAAATATTCGAACCATCTCTATTGATTTGCATCTGCTTAGCACCATTATATGTTTCTTCTCAGGCATGTTGAGTTAATGAGATAAAGTGATCTTTAATGAGGCAGAGACAGAAAATGATAAACTGGGGATAGATAAACATTTCTTTGTGGTTTTCTTAACATCTCAGCCTCATTTAGAGGTAGCATAATATATTTTAATGCATAAGAATATATACTGGTACCTTATATGTACAAATGCATATAAATTTTTCTCAGGTTTAAAACTAGGTTCTTACGAGTTTACCACTAATAAAACTATACTTTTTCAAATCTCACCTCTTAGTACAACCAAAATCTTCCATTCTAAAATATTGGAAAAAAAATGTCCATCAATTAAACCTTAGGACATTCCGATAATGGAACACTATATTTTTAAAAAAAAAAAAAAAAAAAAAAAGAGGGAACTCATTACGTAGTTCTTTCTGTCTTTAGCTTTGGTGTCCAATCAAAACATTCAAGTTCTACCCTTTGCCTTTTTCACTTAAAAATTCATATCTGTTTGTAGGGACATGGATGAATCTGGAGAACATCATCCTCAGCAAACTGACACAAGAACAGAAAATGAAATACCGCATATTCTCACTCATAGGTGGGTGATGAAAAATGAGAACACATGGACACAGAAAGGGGAGTACTAAACACTGGGGTCTATTGGGGGGAAAAGGGGAGGGCCAGTGGGAGGGGGAGGTGGGGAGGGATAGCCTGGGGAGAAATGCCAAATGTGGGTGAAGGGGAGAAGAAAAGCAAAGCACACTGCCATGTGTGTACCTACGCAACTGTCTCGCATGCTCTGCTCATGTACCCCAAAACCTATAATCAAATAAAAAATTTAAAAAAATAAAAAATAAAAAAAATTAAAAAAAAATTCATATCTGTATACAACCCATACATACCCCTATCTATGTCTATTTTTATATCTATATACCTACATACAAAATAAAAATCATAAGCTCATACTTTTATCACCAAATCCAATCTAACCCCATAGGGCTCATTCTAGCATTCTCTCATTACTTATTTATAGCTTCTTTTTCTGATAGTGAGCTCTGTGAGGCAGAGGTTCTTATTATCTACCTGTTTACTTATTTATTCAATCCTAATATATACATAAAGTATTTTCGTAACTGCTTATATATCTTATAAGAAACAGACTAACTATAGTATTTGGATACAGTTCTTTCTGCTGTTGGCTTTGGTGTCTAGTCAAAATACTGAGAACACAAACTGCATTAGCCATGATCAATAAAAAGAAGTACCATGATGACCAATGACTAGTAATATAAGAAATTAATGGTTCCTTCAGCACAGTGCATTTCTTCTCTTGACAAAGTAATAATAAAATGCAACAGGACTGAGGCTAGGCAAAAAAAAAATATTCTGAAAAAAATGAAAGTTCCTGAATTCAAGACACCTTTAGGAATACCAAATACAGACCAAGCCATGGTCCCAGCACTTTGGAAGGCCAAGGCAGGTGGGTCACTTGAGGCCAGGAGTTCAAGACCAGTCTAGCCAACATGGTGAAATGCCGTCTCTACTAAGAATAAAAAAAATTAGCCAAGCGTGTAGGCACATGCCTGTAATCTCAGCTACCTGAGTGGCTGAGGCACAAGATCACTTGAACCCCAGAGACGGAGGTTGCAGTGAGACAAGATCCTGCCACTGCACTCCAGTCTGGGTGACAGTGAGACTCTGTCTCAGTTAAAAAGAATGGAATATAAAATACAGAGGGAATATCCTGGAAAACCTTCTACATACTCAGCATCTTTACAAAACAAGGCTGGAATCTTAGCAATGATAGCGAGTTCATTAAAAGAAGACTCAAAGTAACTCCCACTTGATTTGTTCCTGAAGACATTATGTCAGCAGTTCTGATATTTTAAATATTATGTTGCTCATCCACAAAGGAAACATTAATATTTTTAAATTTTGTTAAAAAGCAAGACAGAAAGTAAAATTAAAACACCAATTTTAACTTGTCTTCTATTAGGAGAGCTGGACCCTATGGAACAGCAATAAGAAAAATGTTTACTCACCATCTGCTGAAAATTTGTCAATAGCTTGGGTCAAAGTGAGGAAGTTGCCTGTGGATTTTGACATCTGAAAGAGTCAGTGATCAAGCATTAATAATAGTAATATAAATAAAATAAATCAAATCAACCAAATAAAATTAACTAGGTTGGTCATGACCAGATAAAAACAAAAAGGAATTTGAAATACAGAAAGGGAAAGAGATATTACATTAATTTTTGAGAGGTCAAAACTGAAGTTCAGCCAATAAAGTGACTTGTTTGGGTTACTCAGCTATCAGTGACACAGCTAGAAGAGGACCTCCAGACTCAGACTCAGTTCACTGTGGTTTAGCCTATACTGTCTCCTGGTAATTGGGTTAGACATGTGTAATGACTCTACTATAACTCTGGAACACCAGCTGGTTACCTAAGGAAGAGCTTTACAGCAATTAGAATCATTCTGTAATGGAATGGACCAGCTCATGAGGTTGGGAGTTAGAATTTTAGGAACCCTCCTATCATTAATTAGGGTCACAATAATCAGTTGTTCAAGTTGTACTCTGCCTGAGGACAATGCATCTGAAGAGGGGCCACTCACAGCCTAGCAATCTTTATTGTTCCAAAATGCTGATGTCCAAAGGAAATGATGACTGTATCAGTTTTCTATTAAACTACATGGCAATACATATCTTGTTCTAATAAAATCAATATAGTACAACAACGTTCAGACAGACCAAAGAAAGTGTCATGTTCTAAGAGAAGTAATATATACACTGTTCCTCTTTGACTTAAACAAAGAAGAAACAAGTTCAATAATCAAATTCTTTGTTGATCTAACAAAATCTATTAAAATCGCCTGTGCTTCTAAACAGCAGTTTTTCGGTCTAATATATAAATCATCTTGAAGGAATTTTTTAAATTACCTTTCAATATTACAGCATAGGTTCAGTCTGATGTTACATAATGCAATTTATATCATCTGCCATTTGTTTAAACCTACAACTATTTTCTTTCTTTTTTTTTTTCTGAGATAGTTTCACTCTTGTCGCCCAGGTTGGAGTACAATGGTGCATTCTCAGCTCACTGCAACCTCTGTCTCTCAGGTTCAACTGGTTCTCCTGTCTCAGTCTCTGGAGCAGCTGGGATTACAGGTGCCCACCACCATGTCCAGCTAATTTTTTTGTATTTGTAGTAGAGACACAGTTTCACTGTTGGCCAGGCTGGTCTCAAACTCCTGACCTCAGGTGACCCGCCCACCTTGGCCTCCCAAAGTGCTGGGATTACAGGCATAAGCCACCGTACCCGACCCCCTACAACTTATTTTCATTATGACACAGACACTTATGACAACTAATACTGTCATTACTATTCAGTTGGTTACAGCAAAATTCATTGGTTGTAACAAATCCAATTTGTTACCACTTTTATTAATGAGAAATAAATAATATTGTAACTTTTAAGTCAAGGAGGGGTGCCCTTCTCTAATTTGCACAAAAGTATCATAGGGGCAAGTGAGGGGTCTGTTAAGTTTGCAGAACTTCCTATTGAGGATATTGATTAATAAGATAAAGTCCTATGAAGTCTGTTTTAAAAACACACACACACACACATACTATTAACAGTAACAGTAGTGATAATAACAGTAGAAGCATAGAGAGGACTGCTATACTGCTTGAGAAGGAGCATTAAGTGACACCTAAAAATCCTACAGACTCCAAATTTCTATCTTTCTACTAATTTAGTGGCCAGTCACAGTATAAAACAAAAAGCACCAAACCATTTTCTCAAATTAGTAAGAAAAATAGCTCTTCCTGCCAGCTTGGATCCTGTGGAAGCCTGCTGGGAACAGGACTTCTAAAAGAAAATATGTCTGGAAGGCTGTGGTCCAAGGCCATTTTTGGTGGCTACAAGCAGGGTCTCTATAACACATAGCTCTTTGTAAAATTGAAGGTG